TCTAGAAAAATTAAGGGATGGAACTAGGCATAATGTAGTTGCTAAAGGCATACATATAACCACCTAGACTGGTATTGCGCACCGTGTGAGGGGTAGAAGCTACCTTCACTCAAGAAATTAATTTTTTTTGCGATAGACATAATGCAGTTGCTAAAGATGTACAAATATTAGGGTAGAGTGGTATTTACTTGCACCGATTTTGAGGGGTAGAAACTACCCCCCTTGCCTAAGAAATATTAATTTATTTTTTTCAGCGAGTTCCAAAAATAGGTAAGCAATGCGACTAGGCGCAAAGTAGTAGGTAAAGGCGTACAAATAATCGGCTTGAGTAGTATTTACTTAGGCCGCTTCCGAGGAATACTAATTAATTTTTTTCACCAATTTCCAAAAATAGTTAACAAATGCGACTAGGCGTAAAGTAGTTGCTAAATACGTACAAATAATCGGCTAGAGTAATATTTACTTAGGCCCCTTCTGAGGGGTAGAAATACCCCACGCCTAAGGCATACTAATTAATTTATTTCACCAATTTCCAAAAATAGTTAAGCAATGCGACCAGAGGCAAAGTAATTGCTAAAGACGTAAAAATAATCAGCTAGAGTAGTATTTACTTAGGCCGCTTCTGAGGGGTTGAAACTACCCCCGCCTAAGGAATACTAATTAATTTTTTTTAGTAATTTCCAAAAATAGTTAAGCAATGCGACTAGGCGTAAAGTAATAATTGATAAAGACGTACAAATAATCGGCTAGAGTAGTATTTACTTAGGCGGCTTCTGAGGGGTAGAAACTACCCTCACATAAGGAATACTAATTAATTTAATTCAGTAATTTCCAAAAATAGTTAAACAATGCGACCAAGTGTAAAGTAATTGCTAAAGACGTACGAATAATCGACTAGAGTAGTATTTACTTAGGCCGCTTCTGAGGGGTAGAAATACCCCCGCTTAAGAAACATTAATTCAATTTTTTCAGCAAGTTCCAAAAATAGTTAAGCAATGAGACTAGGCGCAAAGTAGATGCTAAAGACGTAAAAATAATCGGCTAGAGTAGTATTTACTTAGGGGGGTAAAAACTACCCCCGCCTAAGAAATAATAATTATTTTTTTTTTTCAGAAAGTTCCAAACATAGTTAAGCAATGATACTAGAAGCAAAATAGTTGCTAAAGACGTAAAAATAATCGGCTAGAGTAGTATTTACTTAGGCTGCTTCAGAGGGGTAAAAACTACCACCGCCTAAGAAATAATAATTAATTATTTTCAGTAAATTCCAAAAATAGTTAAGCCATGCGACTAGACACAAAGTAGTTGCTAAAGACGTACAAATAATAGGCTAGAGTAGTATTTACTTAGGCCGCTTCTGAGGGGTAGAAACTACCCCCGCCTAAGGAATACTAATTAATTTTTTTCAGTAATTTCTAAAAATAGTTAAGCAATGCGACCAGGCGTAAAGTAATTGCTAAAGACGTACAAATAATCGGCTAGAGTAGTATTTACTTAGGCTGCTTCAGAGAGGTAAAAACTACCCCCGCCTAAGAGATAATAATTAATTTTTTTCAGGAAGTTCTAAGAATAGTTAAGCCAAGTAAGTACTACTCCAACCGATTATTTTTACGTCTTTAGCAACTACTTTGTGCCTAGTTTCATTGCTTAACTATTTTTGGAACTTGCTGAAAAAAATTAATTAATGTTTCTTAAGCGGGGGTATTTCTACCCCTCAGAAGCGGCCTAAGTAAATACTACTATAGCCGATTATTTTTACGTCTTTAGCAACTACTTTGCGAATAGTCGCATGGCTTAACTATTTTTGGAATTTTTTGAAAAAAAAAAATTATTATATCTTAGGCGGGAGTAGTTTTTACCCCTCTGAAGCAGCCTAAGTAAATACTACTCTAGCCGATTATTTTTACCTCTTTAACAACTACTTTGCGAATAGTCGCATGGCTTAACTATTTTTGGAAATTACTGAAAAAAATTAATTAGTAATCCTTAAGCGGGGGTAGTTTCTACCACTCAGAAGCGGCCTAAGTAAATACTACTCTAGCCTATTGTTTGTACGTCTTTAGCAACTACTTTGCGTCTAGTCGCATGGCTTAACTATTTTTGGAATTTACTGAAAATAATTAATTGTTATTTCTTAGGCGGGGGTAGTTTTTACCCCTCTGAAGCAGCCTAAGTAAATACTACTCTAGTCGATTATTTTTACGTCTTTAGCAACTACTTTGCTTCTAGTCTCATTGCTTAACTATTATTGGAACTTTCTGAAAAAAATTAATTATTATTTCTTAGGCGGGGATAGTTTTTACCCCTCTAAAGCAGCCTAAGTAAATACTACTCTAGCCGATTATTTTTACGTCTTTGGCAACTGCTTTGCATCTAGTCTCATTGCTTAACTATTTTTGGAACTTGCTGAAAAAAATTAATTAGTATTCCTTAGGCGGGGGTACTTTCTACCCCTCAGAAGCGGCCTAAGTAAATACTACTCTAGCCGATTATTTGTACGTCTTTAGCAATTACTTTACGCCTGGTCGTATTGCTTAAATATTTTTGGAAATTACTGAAAAAAAATAATTAATATTCCCTAGGCGGGAGTATTTCTACCCCTCAGAAGTGGCCTCTAGCCGATTATTTGTACGTCTTTAGCAACTACTGTACGCCTAGTCGCATTGTTTAACTATTTTTGGAAGTTGGTGAAAAAAATTAATTAGTATTTCTCAGAAACCGCCCAAGTAAATACTACTCAAGCCGATTATTTATACGCCTTTAGCTACTACTTTATGCCTAGTAGCATTGCTTAACTATTTTTGGAACTCGCTGAAAAAAATTAATTAATATTTCTTAGGCAAGGGTAGTTTCTACCCCTCAAAAGCGGTGCAAATAAATACCACCCTACCCTAATATTTGTACATCTTTAGCAACTGCATTATGTCTAACCTCATTGCTTAACTATTTTTGCAACAGCATTTTTGGTGAAAAAAAAAAAATTAATTTCTTGAGTGAAAGTACCTTCTACCCCTCAGACGGTGAGCAAGTAAATACAAGTCTAGGTGATTATATGTATGCCTTTAGCAACTACATTATGCCTAGTTCCTTCCCTTAACTTTTGTAGAGTGGTGTAAAAAAGTATTTAAAATATTTTGTTTGAGAATAGTTTCTTCCTCTCAGAAGTGGCGCAACTGTGGTGCAGTTAAATAATATTTATATGTACGCCTCTAGGAACTACAATTCACCAGGTGAAATGGAATGAAAAAGAAAGGCTGCTAAATTGGCTGCTAACTTCACGCGAAAATAAACTGGCTGCAGAATATTTTGGCTGCAAGAAATTGGCTGCCAAGTTCACACCGGTCAACTATTAAAGACCTCAAAATTTACAAGTATCGAAAGAAAAAATACAGGACGAAATGTTTGATAATGCTGAATTTGTTTTTAAAGCAATAAATAGTAAATTAAAGCATATTTTCAACTGTATCATCACAATTATTACTTTTTATTTTTTAAAATTGTAGGTATTTTAATGTTATTTCGTTTTTAGATATTCTCCTTGTTGTTGTTGTAAAGGTTAGTTATAGAAATCGTTGTTTGTTATTTCAATAAGGATGAATTTTGATTTTTTTAATTATTTTTTACTTTAAACGTATATTTTATGCCAGCAAATTTTGTTGTCAAAAAAATAAAGGAAAAGTCGTACATTTGTATTTAGTTTTTTTTTCTATCTTTAATTATTAAACCTATAAGTGGATGTCAAAATACAAACAAAAATACTGTACCTACATTCCGCGACGTACTAATAATCCACCTTGTATATTAAATAAATTTTTCATCAAATATTGAAAAATGTATATTAACAAGCTGTTAAAAATATTATTACGAATTTTGTTTATTTGGAAATATATTTTCTGCAGTATTTTAGTACTAAAAAATTAAAATAGTAGCTAATTAACCAAATTATGATTAAGTAACCGCTGGAGAATATCCGATCGTCTATGTTGACTACATAGGTACCGATTCGTTCATTCTTTAAAATATTTTTATCGATATCTATATTTACGATTTAAGTAAATACAGTAACGCAAAAAACAGGCATTGATAAAAATGTGTACAAAATAAATCCGTAAGTACACGTGACAACATTGCCAAACCGTTGTCTATATGTTGCTGGGATACTCGTGAGAATGCGGGCCGCTGCATTTGATTCTTCCTAAAATTCTGCTGGTGGTGTACTCTATCGGCAATTCGGAAATTTAAAACTGCTGGCCTATTCCAGTAGCGGTCTGTGGCGATAGCTATTTTGTCTGTGGTATGTTAAAAAACCTAAGGTTAACTGTAATACCGACCGTAACGCGGCTGGGTCAGTTTGGCAGTGTTCTTATGACTCGTATGCATTAGCACGTTACTACGTCTTGTGAACATAAAAATAAAATAACTACACAAATATATCCTGAAGCATTATTGGAAAAGCCCAATGATCCCACACCTTTGACAAAAACAAACACTTAACAATAGCCACTACAGAAATAGACCTCTTACCATTTCCATATTTTATTAGGATTATTTCATCAGGTGGCATGTTATACCTATATAAAACGTTTACAAGAGAAAAAAAAAGATATTTTGAAATGACAGTGTCAAAAGTGTTGACGATATGGCTAGATTAATGTGAATAGTTTTTTTAACCTAATCAATATTTTCCCTTTTTACTAAATTTGTTTCTAAAAAAGTGTCGTATTTTCACTTTATTGTAAAGGCATTAAGCTAATTCAAAATTTACACTGAAATAAATAAAAACAGTATCAAGTAAAAATCCTCTACCTCTAACTATTCTCTTATAAGAAAAAAATTTAAAAGTTGCTATTTCACAGCACAACATTCCAATGGATTTGTATCAAAGAGCATTGACTTTTATGCATACCTATGCAACTTATCTAAGTTCATCAAAATCATCTTATTTTGTTTTTATCTCTGTCAAACATTTTCCTAATCTTTTTTGATCAATTAATATGGAATATTTCTATTTACAGTATGTCCTGAAGGATATTATGGTGACCATTGTATGGCACCATGCGAATGTAAGAATGATAATTTCTTTTGTCATCCAGTAGAAGGATGTATATGTAAACATGGATTTACCGGAGAAAACTGTGAGGAATCTAATATATTGAGCAGGATACATGAGCCAATTAATCATGGAGGTGACTATGGTGTTGTAGTTGCCGTAATTATGGTTTCAATAATATTTTTAACTATAGTATTGCTACTTATCTTTTACTATAGACGTCGTGTAGCCAATTTAAAGACAGAAATAGCACATGTGCAATATATTGCTGATCCATCAGGATTTTCACCGGGTAATTTTATTTGAGCATTTTAAAATAAATTATTGTAATATATTTTTTATATGTATTTTAGATCGTAATCATTTTGATAATCCAGTATATTCATATCAGGATGGTACTAAAAAAGATAGTGAACAGTTATTGAATAATTCTGCAAAAATACATAATAATTTACATAAACCATTGAATATAAATTTAGAAAGAGCTCGACTTGGTATAGGATGTTGTACTGATGAAGAAGAGTTAGCCAAAGGTGAGTAATTTTGATTTTTTCCTCATTTCATAACATTTATATTTTTTCATTCTTTATTTAGGTCTATATGAACCAACTATTGATGAAGCTAGCAATTTAAAAAATAGAGATGCAGATGCAACCAATCCAAACATATATCATAGTATTGAAAAATTGGACCATGTGTATGATGAAATAAAACAGAAAGATGTTGGTAAGTGTGTATTTTCGATAATTAAAAATAATTTTGTTTTTTGGCCCTACTTTGTGAGCTATATCTCTAATGAGAAAAATGTGTCCTTGTTTTGTTCTATACAGGGTGTCTCATAATTAGCTGCCAACCCTGAACAGGCCGATTCTATGATCAAAACTAAGTAAAAAAGTTCATATGAACATGGGTCCGGAAATGCTTCCTAAGGGCACAGGGACCCATTGAAGAGGGAGGAATGGAAATCATTTTTTTGCAATATCTCTCAATCGCGTTGTGATAAATGAATGAAATTTGGTATACACAGCTAAATTTTGATGAGCAATTTGATGGACTAATCCATTTATTTCCACAAGGTCCATTGGGGTGGGTACGGGGGGGCCCTTGGTACTTTGCGTGTGTAACTTTTTCATCTTTGACTTTTTAACAAATTGGACAGCAAATTCCGTTTTCCCGAACTGTTTTACGTTAAAAAGGTACTCTTGTTTCAAATCGTTATCTTTAACGGTTTCTGAGAAAATCGCTCTTGAATTAATCCCACTTTGGTCAATTTCATAGTAATTTAAACAAAAAAAAATAATAATAATTTTCCTTTCCTCTCTTTTCCATTTAAAGGATTAATTTTTATTTAATTTAATTTTTTATTATTATTTTTTTATTAAAATTAGATTAAATTTAAACAAAAAAATTTTTTTTGTTTAAATTACTATGAAATTGACCAAAGTGGGATTAATTCAAGAGCGATTTTCTCAGAAACCGTTAAAGATAACGATTTGAAACAAGAGTACCTTTTTAACGTAAAACAGTTCGGGAAAACGGAATTTGCTGTCCAATTTGTTAAAAAGTCAAAGATGAAAAAGTTACACACGCAAAGTACCAAGGGCCCCCCCGTACCCACCCCAATGGACCTTGTGGAAATAAATGGATTAGTCCATCAAATTGCTCATCAAAATTTAGCTGTGTATACCAAATTTCATTCATTTATCACAACGCGATTGAGAGATATTGCAAAAAAATGATTTCCATTCCTCCCTCTTCAATGGGTCCCTGTGCCCTTAGGAAGCATTTCCGGACCCATGTTCATATGAACTTTTTTACTTAGTTTTGATAAAAAAATCGGCCTGTTCAGGGTTGGCAGCTAATTATGAGACAGCCTGTATACAGGATGTCCCAGTGTCAGCGTACAAAAGTTTACCAGGGGGTAGACCAGACCAAAATAAGATTAAAATTCTTATAAAATATTTTTCTGCCATACACTCTCACGGAGTTACAGCGTGTTGTTTACAAAAAAATAATAACTTTCCGCAATAATTCAAAAAACCTTCCAAGGAATTAAGTAATTTTTAGGTGAAGTGTACATCTATTAAAGGTCAATAAAACTACAAGGTGATTATTTTGATCTGATGCCAGGGGCGGCCTAGTCCAACTTATCCTCAAGGTTATGTCTTCATAACTTTTGCATATCTTAGTTTTATCTAATTTGATTACAATTTCCTGAATCTGCAGTCGATTCTGAACAAAAAATGTGCTCTTGTTTCATAGCTCAAAAATGAACCATTTTCGAGTAAATTGGGTCTAAGGTATCGACTGCATTAGTTCGTAGAAAAATGCATGTGAAGATTTTATTTCTTGTTATCTAGTAGGTACCTGTCATTATAAAAAACAAAGTTGTTTACAAGCGTACATGTCAAAATTAATTACAGTACTCGAAGTTTCTAGAAATTAAGTTTACAAAACAACAAGATTATGAAATTATTATGACATTTTCCAACAACGAATATGCTGATATGATATTTGTCAACGGTTTCTGTGATGGAAATTCATTGGTGGCCTCACGAGAATATCTACACAGGTTTCCAAATAGAAGGCAATCTTCACAGCACGTACTCCAAAGAGTTTTCCAAAGAGTCTGTGAGACCGAGAATGTTAAAATTGGAAATACAGAATGCCGATGTCATTGATGATCCTTCCACCAGTGCCCGAAGAATATCAATGCAAGTAGGTATTCCACGAAGCAGCATCTAGAGAATTTTAAACCGAGAAGAACTGCACCCATACCACCTACATAAAGTACAAATTTTGCATCCGAAAATAGGTTACAATTTTGCAAGTGGTTGTTAGAAAATATCGATAGTGGCGAAAATTTCCATCAAAAGATATTGTGGGGTGATGAAACTATCTTAGAAATGCTATAAATAATTTAAAAAATTTTCACATCTGATCTATTGATAATCCGCATGTGATATGACCCTCCCCTTTTCAAAGAAGATTCTCCATAAATGTCTGGGGAGGAATCCTCAAGGGAGTCATTCTGCCTCCTCAAATTATTGTAAACCGTTTGAATTCAGAGAGATACACAGATTTTTTAGAAAATATTGTTGATGGCGTACTAGATGACATTCAATTATCTTTGCGAAATGTACTACCAACAAGATGGAGCACCTACTCGTAACAGAAGACAGGTATCGGAGTGGTTCGATTTACATTTTCCAGAACGCTGAATTCGGAAAAATGGACTTATTATGTGGCCTCCCAGGTTCCCTGACCTCAACCCTTTTGATTTTTTTTACTGTGGTCATATGAAATAACTGGTGTATGCCAAACCCAGTAACATGAGAGATGATTCAAAAGATTAATGCAGCCACCGAGCAAATTAAAGCAACCATTGATTTGCGAAGGGTTTACAATTCTTTGGTCAAATGATGTCGGGCATGCATTGAAGTAAATGGGCAGCATTTCGAGCATTTATTGAAATAATTATTTTCTATTTTTATTATTAATATTCTCATTTTGCTAACATAATTTCGTTTCTATTACAGAAACAATTTTATTTCCAGTTCCCTATACGTAACCAAATATTAAATAATTCATAGAAAACTTGTTTAGTTTCTTCATATTCATGAGAAACTGTACCTCAACGGTAAACAAGTTTGTTTTTTATAATGACAGGTAGGTGGGGGTAGGGTGTCCCGGAAATGGTGGGCAATCTCTCGGATATGAATAGATAATGAGAAAATAATGTCACAAGTTCATATAAAATTTTTTCCTCCGGGCTCACCCTGTAGAGTTATTAGCTCTTGAAGTTGAGAATTAAAAATGGTTTTTTTTGCTGTAACTTTTGTATTTTTCAATAAATTTTGAAAATTTTTTGGCTGGATCTATAATTTTTGAAGCTGCTTTGGATGATAATATGAAATCCTCGATAATAATTATGGGGGCCCGGGGGCAAAGCACCCCCCACCAAAATTTCTAGAAAAAAAATTTTTGTTCCACTATACCCCAAATTTTCCATCATTTTATAAAAATTTATGGTATTTTACGTAAAAAAGGTATACTTGTTGAATATCCATAAAATATAATTTTGTATAATTTTTAACGTGTACTGACAGTTTCTAAAGTGTGATTTTATAACAGTGGTCTTAAAGGTAAATCACATGACTTACTTTTAACACTAGTGCTAAAAATAATTCACTTTTAACACTAGTATCATAAAATGAAATTGACTGACAGCATGCGTTAAAATTATACCTTAATGACGTTTGTAGAAAAACAAGTTTAGAGACAACGGTACTGTTTAATTTGAGACATTTTATTTAACAGAAACACAGGTTTAATCGTAGTTGGCTTTTACATATCAGAATAAAGGACAAATAATTTGCAATAGCAGTGTTCCAAATTATGAGAATTTGGACTTAACTAAACTAACTAAACGAAAAGTGCATGACAATCAAAATTTTGTAACTAATATAATTCATAATAAATTCTCAATATTAGTTCCACCTTCTCTTATACAAATACGAGCTCGTTTAACAGAAGACTGTTGCACTCTCCATAACATTTCAGGATTTTGTCGTATTTCATTTGCACAATAAAAAATCCTTTCTTCTAATTCTTCTCTAGTGGTTACAGGTGTGGAATAAACAAGATTTTTCAAGTGCCCCCAAAAGAAAAAGTCAAGTGGGTTCATATCTGGAGTTCGGGCAGGCCAATGAATAGGTCCACCGCGACCTATCCAGCGATTAGGATATACCTCGTTTAAATGGTCCCTTACTGCAGCACTAAAGTGAGGCGGCGCCCCATCGTGCATGAATATCAGTGCATTTCTGGTTTCAAGATCAACATCTTCTAACAGTTGTGGTAATTGATGCACAAGGAAATCTAGGTAACGTTGACCATTCAGTCTAGGGGGTAACACAAATGGACCCAATAAGTAAGGACCAATAATTCCACTCCAAACATTAACATAAAATTGTCTTTGGTGCCTAGTTTCAATAATAGCGTGTGGGTTCTCATCAGACCAATAATGTAAATTATGGGAGTTAATAACTCCATTCCTCCCAAAACTTGCTTCGTCAGTATACAGAATTAATCTCGTAAACATAGGATTTTGCTCATGTCTCTGAAGAAACCATTGAGAAAACTGTACTCTTGCACGAAAATCATCAGGATTAAGAGCATGCACTTTTTGGATATGGTAAGGGTGAAGAAGCTGTTCTCTAAGGATTCTTGCAACAGTGGTCTTTGGAACATTGGTAAAAGAAGATAATGACCTAATGCTAACTGTTGGATGAGCAGCAACTTCGTCCAGTATATTTTCCTCTACTTCAACTATACATGCTGTTCGCGGGGCACTCCTGTTTGCAGTAACAGGAGCAAACTGACCTAAAGACATTAAAATTTATTTAATATCCATTTTGTTTAATAATAGTGTTAGGGACATCCTATATTAAATATTTATTTGACTAAAGACGCTGAGAAGGCTGATGCGTCGACTAGCCCGAGGTGTGATGTTAATATAAACACTGATAAAGAATGAATGCCTTCTTCCCTGTTTTAGTCAAACCCTAATATACGCCCCTAACAATAGTAATCGTATTTTACCAGTTTCTCTTAATCTTTGATCAATACGTTCGAAAGTTTTGCAATTCGGAATCCTTCTATTAGGATAAGAATGCTGATAAAATCTTCTTGCTGCCAAAGCATTACAAAGAGCCCGCCCGTACATTAAATGCATATCAGCATATTCTTCATTGGAATACTCCATATTTTATAACAAATTATGAGTTATGAAATGAGTCTTAGATTTAAAACTACGTATTTGACAAGTTTGACAATTTAATTGCCTTTGGCATACTCTGACATGTCAAAGCCTACCACAATTAAATCTGTGTTTCAATTAAATAAAATGTCTCAAATTAAATGGTACCTTCCTATTTAAACGGGTTTATCTAAAAAAATATCTATTTTATGGATATTCAACAAGTATACCTTTTTTACGTAAAATACCATAAATTTTTATAAAATGATGGAAAATTTGGGGTAGTGGAACAAAAATTTTTTTTCTAGAAATTTTGGTGGAGGGTGCTTTGCCCCTGGGCCCCCATAATTATTATCGAGGATTTCATATTATCATCCAAAGCAGCTTCAAAAATTATAGATCCAGCCAAAAAATTTTCAAAATTGATTGTAAAATACAAAAGTTACAGCAAAAAAAAACATTTTTAATTCTCAACTTCAAGAGCTAATAACTCTACAGGGTGAGCCCGGAGGAAAAAATTTTATATGAACTTGTGACATTATTTTCTCATTATCTATACATATCCTAGAGATTGCCATTTCCGGGATACCCTGTAGAGAGTGACTCGGACATAATATAAAAGCACTGTTACCATAACGCGTATAAAATATAAAATGATTTTTATACGGTTCAATAATATTTATTTTTGTGCCGCTCGCTAAGCACATCGATAGAATCTACAGGGTGTCCCAAAAGTATGGAAACAGCACAATAACTTTTGAAAAATGCATTTTGAGGAAAAATTATTCAGACAAAAGATTTAGGATTTTTCCCTGGCGATTCAATGGTGACCCTAGATTTGACCTTGACCTTGACCTTCAAGGTTATTTCAAGGTCAAGTTAATTTTTCAAATGGGATGCCCTACTTTTGACCCCGGAAATGAAAAGAGCGGAAAATTTTACGTTCAGATATGTCATTGACCATTTTCCAAATTTGACCTCTGGTGGTCATTAAAGGTCAAATCAAAGTCACGCATGGTTTGGCGCGCTGTCTTGAAAACAACGGGTTGCAAAAAAAATGACCATAACTAACGTTGTAGGATTTTTCCCTGGCTATCTGACGGTGACCCTTGATTTGACCGTGACCTTCAACTTCAAAAACCGCACTATATCAATTTTCGCAAAAATCGGTTGATTTTTGAAATCGCGTCCGCCATCTTGGACTAAAATTCCTCAAAAACAGATTTCAGATTCGTAGTCAGCGACCCCAAAAACCCCCCTATACCAAATTTGGCGTAAATCGGTTAATTTTTTGGAACCGCGTCCGCCATCTTGGATCCGCCATCTTGGACTAAAATTCCTCAAAAACAGATTTCAGATTCGTAGTCAGCGACCCCAAAAACCCCCCTATACCAAATTTGGCGTAAATCGGTTAATTTTTTGGAACCGCGTCCGCCATCTTGGATCC